TACTGAACACCCCAACACCAGGCAGCACGGTTCCCCTTACTGCACTCACTTTCTGCACCTTGGTGCCCCCTAGTGCTGCACTGTGATCAGCACTGACTGCCAGGGGAGAACACCCCTTACTGAACACCCCAACACCAGGCAGCACGGTTCCCCTTACTGCACTCACTTTCTGCACCATGGTGCCCCCTTGTGCTGCACTGTGATCAGCACTGACTGTCAGGGGAGAGCACCCCTTACTGAACACCCCAACACCAGGCAGCACGGTGCCCCTTACTGCACTCACTTTCTGCACCTTGGTGCCCCCTAGTGCTGCACTGTGATCAGCACTGACTGCCGGGGAGAGCACCCCCTACTGAACACCCCAACACCAGGCAGCATGGTGCCCCTTACTGCACTCACTTTCTGCACCTTGGTGCCCCCTAGTGCTGCACTGTGATCAGCACTGACTGCCGGGGAGAGCACCCCTTACTGAACACCCCAACACCAGGCAGCACGGTGCCCCTTACTGCACTCACTTTCTGCACCATGGTGCCCCCTAGTGCTGCACTGTGATCAGCACTGACTGCCAGGGGAGAACACCTCAACCTGGTTCCCTGCTGCTCTGGGGTTTTCTCTCCGAGGCAGGGGGTGAGGCTGCTGTCTGGAACATGTAATGTCCTGGAGGTCTTGACTTGGCCCTTCCTATTGGGGTCGTGGTGCCCCTTACTGCACTCACTTTCTGCACCATGGTGCCCCCTAGTGCTGCACTGTGATCAGCACTGACTGCCAGGGGAGAACACCTCAACCTGGTTCCCTGCTGCTCTGGGGTTTTCTCTCCGAGGCAGGGGGTGAGGCTGCTGTCTGGAACATGTAATGTCCTGGAGGTCTTGACTTGGCCCTTCCTATTGGGGTCGTTCACCTCCTCCAGTTTATCCTCCATTCTCAAGGCTGTTTCCCTCCCCACCCATTCCTCTGCTCCCTCTGTCAGCAGGTTCCTGCAGGCCTGTCCTACTGTCCTTCCTGTCCCCAGCTGCACGTGCCGGGGAGGAGCTGAGGCTTGGTAGGGCAGTGAGGGTGAAGGCCTAGGGCTGGGGTTTGGGCAGGGCCTAGGGCAGAGTCAGAGTTTGCAGGGAGCTGGGCTTAGGGAGAGGAAAGGTAAGGTTAAAAGTAGGGGGCTAGGTTAGGGGTGGGGCTGGTGTATGAACTAGATAGGTGGCTCTAGTGGTCGCCTTAGAGAGGGACTGGGGAAGGGGAAGGTTCAGGGCCCCTGACATGTTTGTCTCACCATCACATCTGCCGTGTTCACTAGCTGCTGAATGTGATGGGGAATCCTTGTGCAGAGGCTGAACACGTGACCTCTGCCTCCAAGTGAGTGTAACTGGGTGGGGGTGCAGGAAATGTTCCCCTCCTGGAAGCTGGTTGTGGAGTGTTTGCACCAAGGCCATGCCTTGTAGCCTAGTTTCAGGAGTTGGTTGGTGCACCAGCCAGTCCCAAGTGTGTTTCCACACCAAAATAGGCATGTGCTTAACTTTATACTGGGGTAGAATAGCAGTGAAGCCCTGGGACCTGGGCTTTTCACATGGGTTCTCAGCATGAGTTCAACCAGGCACCCTGGCAGCTTGAACTCAAACTGCAACATCATGCTGCTTTAAACCGAGAGCTGCCTGGCCTAACTGACTTAAGAACACAGCTGTATGGGTTTTTTTCCATGTCAAGTACCTTGTTACCTCTGCCTGCTAACAGACTGAGATGCAAATAACCTGTTTACACTAGGATTTTCACCGGTCTGCAGAGAACCCCTTCTCCTGAGTTTGTGTTTAAGGGCAAAGGCTTTTCCAGCATGCATCTGCTGGCAGCCTCCCTCCCAGCACAGGTTGGCGGAGCAAAGATGCCCCCAGGGTGTGAGGGGGCAGGGCTACCCATGCCTAGTTGCTCCAGCCAGGTAAGAAGTACAGATGCCTTGTCCCTGCTAGGCTCTTGCAGGGAGCAAGCTTGATGTAAACCCCCCTTGGTGTGCAGTGCAGACATGGCCTAATGGTGTGGCATTTACACTGGGGTAGTGAATCCAGGGCTGCTGTGGCCACTTTTGTGGTTTTAAATGTGGTTTAGAGCAGTGTAGTTGTGTGGTCCAAAACTAGACTGCTGTAGGCCGTGAAAAACCACTCAGGCTGTCCACACTCACAGCAGCAGGGCCTGCGCTGACCCATCAGGGATTTCTGGGGCACCCAAGGAATTTAGAGTTGGGTCAAGGGGGTGGGCAGGCTGGAAAGGAACTAGAGGTTAGGATGAGAAGCCAGGGGAGGTTAGGGCACATCTGGGGTAGGGACAAGGCAGGCATGGGATCCCATTGGATTCACCTGAGGAACAGCTGGCATTTTCTTCCTGCTCCTCTCCTCA